CGGACAGCGAGTCTCCTGCAGGAGTTCAGCTGGGAGGTGTTTGATCATTCACCCTACAGCCCGGACCTCGCTCCCAGTCATTTCCATCTTTTCCTACACCTCAAGAAATTCCTGTCTGGTCAGCGTCAGCGTTTTGAGAATGACAGAGAGGCGGAGATGGTTGTCACACAGTGGTTCCAATCCCAGGCGGCCGACTTCTACGACACAGGTATTCAAAAGTTGGTCCCACGGTATGACAAATGTCTCAATTCCGGTGGCGAATATGTTGAAAAATAGCTGGACACTTGCTGTATCTGTTGCAATAAATATTTCCATGAAATTGTGTTTTGTTTCTGTAAATGGCCCCAGGGAAACTTACTTTGAGGACGCGCCTCGTATAATACACATGTACATATGAAGTTTGCATGAAACTTTTATTTTGAGTATTTGAAGTTAAAAATGACATAGTACATTCCATAACCACCATTTTATAAATATTCTGAACAGTATGTGTTTGGATGCCACAACTGATTTCACCAGAAATCCAGGGTTTTTTTGTGTATGCATGTGCGCGCATGTGTGTGTGTATATATAAAACATCTTAACTTTCAGAATGTTCTTGTAATCAGCAGGACGTTTTCTGTCTTCTATCTCTGCAAGATTTGTAACAAGTTGAAATTCACATAATTCTTATAAAATACTGACTGGAAATTTTGCGTTTACTTCTGTAAGAAGAGGGTTGAGTTTATACTGATGACTGCAGTCTGCAAATTATTCTTTTAACGACAACAATTTTTCTGTAGTTGAAGTCAATGTATTTAAAATGAAGTCAAGATTTTTGGACCCCAAAACTCCTTTTATTAACAGGATGAAATGAAGACCTAGTTATGTCATTAAAAACAATATTTTCCATTTAGTGACATCTACTGTAATATAATGAGTGATGACCATCATACTTGTGTGTTCTCTTATTATAGCATTTGCCATGGTAATTCAGCGAAATGATTTTTGATCTTGTGGGATAATGATTATGACTGTGCATGTCTCCTATACTGTTGGTAATCCTACTTAAGGCATTCTCAGCCCTATGATTTGCATTACTGTAAGTTTATTAGTTCCTTTAGAGGTGAAAATGGAACCCTACAGACAATCAATTGCCCAACACAAGTTATAAATTTGAGCACCACCGGGAATTGAGCCCGGGACCCCAGGCTTACAAGGCTAGTGTTCTGACCGCTAGACCACCGTGGGTAGTGACATCTACTGTAATATAACGAGTGATGACCATCATACTTGTGTGTTCTCTTATTATAGCATTTGCCATGGTAATTCAGCGAAATGATTTTTGATCTTGTGGGATAATGATTATGACTGTGCATGTCTGCTATACTGTTGGTAATCCTACTTAAGGCATTCTCTGCACTATGATTTGCATTACTGTAAGTTTATTAGTTCCTTTAGAGGTGAAAATGGAACCCTACAGACATTCAACTGGTTCAAAGTTTAACGTTATTTTTTTAAAAAATTACAGTTACCTGCAGGTCCCATTAGTTTTGTTATAAAGAAGTTCTATTTCTGATTTTCATCGTACGATCTCAAAAATAATTAATTTTAATATCTTTTATATTAAGATTCACCCTTAAAGGATGATACATACAAATTCTCCTTTAAACATGTTCTTATAAATTAATATACTGTGCTGTATAAAAAGTTTCAGAATTCAACAAACGTGAGAGTGAAACTAACCTGATGAGGAAGATCATTCCCAAATGCTATTTATGTTTAGAAACAAGGAATGGGTAAAATCCTGACAAATATCTTTGAAACTAATTAATGCAGACCAGGAGTAGGCACCTTTTGGCACTGGCAGGCCACATTCAACTTCCGAATCCTAACAGTGGCCACATGACTAGTAGTTAAGAACATGCTGACAAATATCTTTGAAACTAATTAATGCAGACCAGGGGTAGGCACCTTTTAGCAATGGCAGGCCACATTCAACTTCTGACTCCTAACAATGGCCACATGACAAGCAGTAAAGAACATGTGATAATAGGTGCACGGGTACATTTATTTATTATTTTCACATAATTTACATATTTAATTGAAATCATTTCAGTAACCTAACCTTATTTTGGCCCAAACTGTTAATGTATACCTGTTTGTTGCGGGTTGAAGATGAACCATCTATTTTCTTCAGTTGGTCGGCTGATCTTCAAAGAAGAGCCTCTCATCCACTGTTTGGTAGAAGTGTCATCGAAGTTACTGTCCTGCACTGCATAAGTGAGAGGAATAGTCCACAAGGAGTCGTCCTCTTCTGCAGTTGATGTTGGCGTTAACAAGAACCTTTTCTTTAAAAATAGGGAGATTTATAATGTCTTTGTTATGCATTATGATAAAGAAAATTGAACATTAAATATTATTAATTATTTTAGAATGAAGGAATGTTTGAATGTTACAGTGTGAGTAAATGTGTGCGCATGCACGTGCATAGTGTCTCCCAAAATAGGTGAATACACATTACAATACAGAACACTAACCATGTTATAAATCTTCATGTGTTTTATTTATGAGGAGAACCTAGTGTGGTCTACACTTAACAGATGGCGCACCAAATACATTTTCCCATGATTCAGATATCCAAATTGCCGGAGGGTCAACTGAGGTTCGAACAACGCAACTTAATTTTGAAGACGTACTGGAAATTCGGGAATGTGCTTGAAGTGCAAAAACAGTTGACATGCAAATCTGAAACCATGCCTCAAAAATGACTAACAAATACAATAATTTGCGATAAATTTGAAACTTATGGTACAGATTTAACTGCATCTGACTTTCTTGTGGGGGTTACTTGAAAGATGTGTTGTACGGCACAAAGCTATGGTAAGAAATTGAAGGGTCTTGTGTAGCCATCCCAGCAGCAACTTTGGTGGCTGCTTGTGAGTCAGTTGCTCGCCGTTGTCAACCGTGACACGAAGCTTACTGTTGTAATTTTTAACGCCTACACTAGATCGGCTATGAGCCGGGATAGCTCAGTCAGTGCAGTGACTAGCTACGGGCTGGACGACCGGGGTTCGATCCCCGACGGGGACAGAGGATTTTT